ATCCCACACCGGTCCTACATCTTAGGCTCCACCCACACCGCCAACCCAGACCCACTCTCTACCAGGCCTGCCGGGGTGCCATCTCCCCAGACACGTGTATAAGAGAAGGGGCCGTCTGGACCGGCTGCTGACATGTAATGAGCTGGGAGAGCGCTTTCCTTTGGGGCAGATTAACAACCCACCACCTGAACCAGCAAGAACTGGAGCCCTTGGGGAAGGAAACCAGCTCATGACCCAGCATCTTTACTGAGCGTTCTCTGGAGCGCACAGAATGGAAATCTGCGTGACCACCGCCACCTTCACAAGGAGTACTTTCCCTTTCGTAATTTAAACACACTCGTCCCACATACTGCAACAATGAAGCCATGAGAGGTCTTTATCCAACAACGATAGTGAACAGGAAGGGAGGATTTAATCCAGGGTGCTGGCATTCCACAGCCACTTGCACAGCTTGGTATATTTAGCTACGTCGTCGGGGAGGACACCGCTGCTTTGCTCACGGACGTTCACCAGGAGGCACTTGCTGTGGCCTGAAACAGGCCTGTCCAGCTTTCCAGGAAAAGATGAGCCTCACCCACAGTGAAGGCCATTCTGTGCATATTCCTGGAACTGGATATGGCTTTAATTTCAAGCTCCCGTCCTGTCTTTACTACAAAGCCCTGTCCTGACCTATCTCCCAGCATGCTTATGCTCCCAGGGTTGATGGCTATGTGACTTACCTTTCTCACTAGAGGCTAGACTTCCCCCAGAACAAACCCTGCCCAGCAGGTCCCAGCAACATCCACACCAGTGTGCAGACAGTACCATTCACCCAGGCAGGCAGGCTGTGCGGACCGTGCTTCTTCAGTGGGGCCTGTGTCCACTTCCCCAGCCCAGCCTGGCCCTCCTGCTCTCCACATTGCCGAGGCCAGGCAGCATGCAGGCTGTGGCCACACCAGGGCCAGAGAAGGAGAGTGTGGGCTGGTCAAAACAAGCCCAGACATACTCACGGGGTCCGTCAGCATGGCCCGGCAGTGGGAGGCCAGGGCCAGGAAGGCCAGCAGGTTGAACAGAATTCCATTGATGATGCTGTACACGTAGTCTCGGGATGGAATCAGCATGACAAAGAGGACCACAAACTCCGCATAGAGGACCAGAAACCAGGTGACAATGGCACAGGCGATGCCGCAGCCGTCGCGGATAAACCACATGGTTCCCGCAGGACCAGGGTAGGGAGGTGGGGCGCACTTCTCCGGCTGGAGGTATTCTGGCTTCCGCTCAATGTCTCGGAAGTGGTGGGTGGGGATAAGCATCATAAGCTATTCTGTCCATACTGGCATCTGGAAGAGAGAAGACCCAGACATTTGGTGTCGTCTTGTCATCAAGCAGATTGGACCAAATGACCTTTCCAAGTGAGGAGGAGTGTCTATGTGTTACCCACAAAACACAGGGGTGGGGCTAAAGGTGTACTTACAACTGTAAACCTATTTTTACCCCACCCTGTAAATAACTGATCCACCCCAACTCCTGCTTCCCTGCAGAAGAGCACGGTGCAACAGAGACAATCAGTTACAACCACATCGCCCCACCCACGCCTGTGGCAGCGTAACCTGCCGTCATCTGCAGCCTGAGGGTCATCTCGCCATACCCTGTGTGCTCCACCAAAGTGCTCTTCAGTGATCATAAATGGTGTGGTTTTCAGTTAGAGCAATGCTCATGTTTAGATGCTTCCAGTGACTGAGTTATGCCCAATCATATTCAGAGCAGACGCCTGTAGCCTACCCTGGCGGGTGCTCATTCTTGACAGCAGATAAGGCAACGGCTCGACTAAACTAGCGCTACAGTTCACATTGTGGTTTTGCTGAGGGACAGGCCCTTCCACACGAGTAAATCTCCCAGGTAACTGGCTACTTCCTGTCGTAAGCACAATACCCATCCGTTTATTTGGAAGGATCAGAGTCATTACCAGGAACAGCAGTTACTGGAGTATGTTAGGTAACCATGTCCTCAGGGGGAACGGGATTGACAGGGCTTGCCACCGCACACCAAGTGGCCTGTTCAGACCATTGTCACTGCGGCATCTCCTCCGTAAGGTTCTTTGTCTTCCTCCCCCATTCCTGGCTATGGTCATTACGTGCCAAGAGTTACCAGTCCTCCCAACATACCCTCTATTTACTGCTGCTAACTGGCTGTGGGCTGGAAAGCAGGTGAAGTGAAGTCTTGTCGGATTCGTTTGTGCAAGAAGGGGACTCCGGCTGGGCAGTAGGCGTTTAGTGCACACCCGCTAGGCTCTCCCACCATTCGGTGGCTGTGGGCTGGAAGCCCCGTCCTTCCATTAGCCTGGTGCCTGCACACAGCAGCCTCTCACTACATATGTCCATCACACATGTGCATGAGCAAGGTGTGTGAGCTCTTTGAGCCCAGGCCCACCTCCTGGAGGCTTCGTCTGCTAACTCTAGGGATGGTGGAGGTACACCAAGTAGGACCATGAAGTAGGTAACCAGAATGTTCCGCCCTTGAACCATGTGGGACCAGAGTGCACCAGGAGCTCTGTTTCCGCGTCACCCCTCATTGGTGAGTGAGAACCTGTGATCCGGGAAAGCGGCCAGCCAAGGGCACACCTGGCAGAGCTGCACTGAGTGTTGAACTGAAGTACAGATTCCAACCCACACTTGAGTTTCAAAACATCCCAATCAAAACCAATCAAGGCACACTGCTGTAAAAAGTTTACTTAACCCCCAGGCCTCCAAAGGCAACGGACGTAGCTCTTCAATACGATTTGTTTCTTAAATTAGCCAAATGAAAATCTGAGAAATAAGGGGGCGGGGAGGAGCCCACCTTGAAACAAATTGTACACGTTCCCTTCACTCTGCCCCCAACAACAGAAAAGGCAAAGCTTCATCTCCTTTCCTCCCATCCTTGGGGTTGAGGGATGGTTCTTTGCCAAGGACCATTCCCCAAGGGTCCTTGCTCAGAACTGGTTGCTCAGGCCTCTGGGGTAGGCACACAAGGAGGCTGGCGCACCCCAGGACCCACAATACCACCGCTGCCAGCTCTCCTACCCTCAGGGGGCAGCCCTCGCCAGTCCCCTCCCAGCGCCTTCGTCCCATTCCCTTGCCCTGGTGGCTCTCTAACATGCCTTTCACTCAATTCCCTCTGACTCAAAAAGACATTCATGAAGTAGCCACTAAATGCAAGGAATTGTGTAGGGGGCTCACACCCAGGGGATGAGGAGGACAACAATGTGTGTGCTGCCCTGCTCAGTCCTCTCCCAGTCCTCTCCCAGCTCCCAATCTGGTAAGACCAGTCTTACTTGCTTTTTCCCTGCTAACTTGCAAGTCCCATTTGTTTAGCTTTGTAGCCTGGTATCTGGCATGAGTGTATGCTCAACAGTATTTGAATAAATGGATATGTGACTCAGACAGACACACCCCACAATAATCCTAACACATAGGTTTCTAGACAAAGGCCATGGAGTGAGTAGACCTGGGAGGCAGAGTGGAGGTGCTGGTGGGGTAGCTATATGAAATATTTACACACAGACTGGCTTCATAAACTCAAAATCAGGTGCAATTATTTTCTTTTGGCTTAGAGAATAGGATAATCCAAACACTCAAAAACGTAAATGAATATTTAACATTTTAATACATCTAGTATCGTGTTAGATTGCTGTCAAGGAGGCTGGTCTGGTCTCCTCTTGAACTTGCCCCAAACATGGGCTTCGCACCTAAACTAATTTTTACTAGTTAACTCAGTAAATAATCACTTAATTTATCAGGCCCACTGGAAGAAGGCAGCATCTTTTCTGCCATTTCTACCGTAATTCTCCCTTGAAATTCATCCTAAGGAGTACATCCATCACCTGTGGTTTAGATCCTATGGTCTTAAGAATATGGTATTTGCCTCTTTAAAATCTTCTTCCATATCCAAGGAATTGACTAAAGTATCAGTGTTTACAGGTCAGCCGCACAACTTTAAAGATGAATAGATGGGCTTGAAAAACAAATGTGATCAAGAAATTAATTTATTTGGGCTAAAATTATCTTAATTTGTTGTAAGACTCCCAAAGAACTATACATTTTATACCCATTTTAGGTGATTCTCAGAAAAACAAAGAATGGACCATGAATTCACTGTCTGAGATGCCTCACAATACAGAATGAGTCACTAAGCGTTTTTCAAAGGGTGTGGTCCGAGGGAAAGGCGCCTTATCTTTTGATTAAATCTGCCAGCCACGGAAGGTGCCCGGGCAGGCAGTGCTCTGGCCTCACCAGTGAGCTTGCATTGTTCCTCCCTCCTGCCTCCTGTCTGTCATACTTAACCTCCACCAAAAATTTTAAGAAGTAAATTATTGCACCCCCAAACCATACTCTATACACATTAAAGGTCATTGAGGGAACCAGGAAGTGGGAAGTTAAATTTGCCTTTTTGACTCACAACTGGTCACCTTCTTATAAAACCCTCCATGCATGTACCCACTGGGACTCCTAACAAGGAGTTTTCATTTCAGAACAAAGTCTGGTTTTGGCCAGGCTAACAGTTCCTACACTTACTACAACTGGCTTCTTTACCACCTCCCGGCTTTCTAGAACTATTAAAAAATACACACACCCACATACAGGATGATACAATGTGTGACACAAACATTGGGGGTCTGTAGAAACTACCACTCATTTGGGTAACACATTCTACTCTCCCTTTTTATAAATGTGCTCTATCTGTGTTGCAACAATGAGAAAGATTAATGAGACAACTTTAAAACAAGACCACACATAAGATTAACTGTTGAAAAAACAATCACTATCTGAGTCAGACCTTTCAAGTGGGAAGGAGCCTCAAAGACCATCTAGTGCATTTCAGTCAAACTCTTTTGTTTTACAGAAGAGAAAAATCAAAGTCTATTTGAGATTTTTGTCTAAAACATCAGTTCCAGGGGTAGGCAAACTTTTTGGCTCGAGGGCCACAACGGGCTCTTAAACTGGACTCAGAAGAAGGAGCTGCGGCCGTGTTTCCCAACGTTGCCATGTTAACACTGCTGCTGGTGAAGGAGCGGAGGGGAGAGCAAGAGAACCCTCTGCTCTTTCGGCTCCGCGGGCCGGATAGAACAGCCCAACGGGCCGGATCTGGCCCGCAGGCCGTAGTTTGCCCACGGCTGGTTTAGACAAAACATCCAGTGCTGTCTGCAGGAGTAGAAATGGATCCCAACATTAACTGAACGGCTATGATGACTGCAGACTCATAAAGCAGCTTGTTTTAATTCTTACAACAGCACAGTAGCTTTTATTATTCACTGTATAGACAGTGAGGTGCAGAGGTTTTGGTTAATGTTCTCAAGGTCATACAAAGCGAGGGAGTGGTAAAGCCAGAATTCAAAAGCAGCTCTGCTTGTCACCATAGACCACATTTTGAGCATAGCACAGGGCTTCTCCCCCGACCCCACCCCCTCACAAAGAGGAGAGGAGGAATGGCCAAGCAGGAAACAGGAGTTCTACTTCCTATGCCTCTCACGCATTTGATGGACCTGAGGAGAAGTCACTTTAACTTAGCTTTGTCTTCATCTCTAAAGAGAGCGGGAAGGCCTAGATCTCCAAGCTGTGATTCTTTTCTTAAAAACCCAAGAAATGGACTCCAAGCAGACTCTCCTCCCACCAGCTCCTGGGAACCTAGAATGCCCATTCGTAAAAAAATAAAGAGCACTCTTCCGCATGAGTCATTTTACTCTGTCAGCTGCCTCTTTCATGGATCGTGTTTCCACTGGGCTAGCTGACCTCTTCCAAACTCTGGTCCAGCCTGTTCTACAGAGGGGGAAAAATGAAGCTCAAGCCCTGGCTGGGTGCCTCAGTTGGTTGGATGTTCCATACACCAAAAGGTTGTGGGTTCGATCCCCGGTTGGGGCAGGAATGGAAGGCAACCGATTTTCCTCTCCCGCGCCCCCCCTTTTCTAAAAAAATAAAAGCAGCTCAAAGAGTTAACTGATGTTATAAAATGTTAGAAAGGTTGCTAACGTCCTCTCTAGTTCTAATGAATGGTATCTACTAGTTGCTTCTACTGCCATTGCCTGCATTATCTCCTCCTTCCAGGGAGCCTGCAGCCCAGCAGGAGAATTTTTATAAAGGTAATATATATTACTGACCTAGCTACCCAATTAATATTTGTCAATGAATGTGATACTCTCAGTAAAGGAACCCTTTGTAAGTTACACATTTTGTGCTCTAAGGTGCTAGCCTGGCTGAACACCAGCCAACATTTAGAAGACTTACCATGATTTAACTTAGGAAGTAGGAGGGCTGTAATGCTTTAGCCAGGGGTCACCCTAAGCTTGAGTCCCTAAAATCTGCTTCTGCTGATCTAGCACGCTGCTTTTTCCGAGAGAAAGCCCACGCATGCTAGACAGAGACCAACAAGCAAAGGTTCCCACCTAAGGATGTTAAAAATAGCACCCAACACCACATGGTGCCATGTGCAGGCATGCAGCCACTGTGACATCACCCAGGAAAAAGCTTGGTCTTTTTTTTAGGGACAAAAAGCAAAAGTGCTTGGAGGGATCTGAAAAAAAGACCTAGAAAAGAGAGTGAGAGAACAGTTATTGTAACTATACCAGGTTTTGCAAAGGGATTCTATTTGAACAACCAATGGATCAAAGAAGAAATTAAACAGGAAATAAAAAAAGTTTCTTGAGACAAACTAAAATGGAAACACAATATACTAGAATTTGTGGGATTAAAAAGGAGGAGGAGGAGAAGGAGTGAGAGGAGGAGGAGGAGGAGGAGGAGATGATGATCACAAATAAACAACCTAACTCTATGCCTTAAGGAACTAGGGGGGAAAAAAACAACTGAGACCAAACTTAGGAGAAGAAAGAATAAAGACTAGAGCAGAAATAAATAGAGAAGAAAAATAATAGATAAACAAAATTGACAAACCCTTAGCCAGATTATCAAAGAAAAAAGAGAAAGGACCCAGAGCCACAAAATTATAAAGGAAAAAGGAGACATTACAATGAATACAACAGAAATTCAAAAGGTCATAAGAGGTTGGTATGAACAAACTATATGCCAACAAATTGGACAACCTAGAAGAAATAGAAAATCTGAATAGACCAATTAAAGTAAGGAGACTGAGTCAGTAATAAAAAACCTCTCCCAAAAGCCCAGGGCCAGATGGCTTCACTGGTGAATTTTAGCAAACATTTAAAGAATTAAAACCAATCCTTCTCAAACTCTTCCAAAACATTAAAGAGGAGGGAACATTCCCAAACTCATTTTACAAAGCCTACATTATCTTGATACCAAAACCAGAAAAGAACACCACTAGAAAACTATAGGCCAATATCCCTGATAAATAATAGAGCAAAATTCTCTATAAATACTAGCAAATCGAATTCAGAACATATTAAAAGACTCTTACACCATGACCAATTGGGATTTATCCTTGGGGTGCAAGGATGGTTCAACATATACAAACCAATCAATGTGAACAAGAAAAGAGTCACATGAC